GATCCCTCAGCAACAATTTGAGGAGATCGGATGGGGCAGTTGGGTAGGCCTTGTGTGCCATGCTTTCCAAGTCCTGTGCCAGCTCTTGCAGGCTCTCCCCTTTAGCACGGATTCTCGTCCTAAACCTAGCCTTGTAAACTTCCGACTGATTTTGAGTTCCGTACCTGAGTTCTAGAGCCGCTACCAGTGCTCTATAGTTGTGCCTATCATCTGCTGACAACTGTCCAAGTATTTCCAGTGGTTGTCCCTTCAAGCTCGTTGCCAGATATACTGCTTTCTGCTCCTATGTTCATCCGTTCATCTCTGCCAGTAGCTCAAATTGTGCTCTATATGCTTCCCACGGTGCCTTCCCATCGAATTCCTGTGGCTTCCTTCGCACTGGATCACTCCTATTACTGACATTCATATCTGGGATGTGACTTCTAACAGGGCTGAAGATGTCTGCATTAGGGTTTAGCTGCAGGGTCTGGAAGGGGCTTGCCATTGTCTGGGGCTGGTTAAGTCGATGGCTAATGTATCTTCCTTGTGTAAAAGACAATAAAGCATCCTTTAATGTATCTAATTCGCTTTTAAATATACTAATGTTTTCCATTTCTACTTCTTGCCACTATTGTAGTCTCCCTTCTTGTTTATTTTCTTTCTCCTCCAATAGCAGTTGTAATCTCTCTTCTTGTTTATTGAAGAGAGATTACAACAGCTATTGGAGGAGAAAGAAAATAAACAAGAAGAGAGATTACAACAGCTATTGGAGGAGAAAGAATTTGTTTATTTTGCTGTTCGAGCAGCCACGATTGCAGGTTTTCTTGCAACTGCGGTAATCTCTCTTCTTGTTTCTTTTCTCGTTCTTCTTGTTTCTTTTCTTGTTTCTTTTCTCGTTCTTCTTGTTTCTTTTCTTGTTTATTCTCTCGTTCTTCTTGTTTCTTTTCTTTTTCCTCTAACAACTGCTGTAATTTATCTTCTTGTTTCTCTTCTTTTTCCCCCAAGAACTGCTGTAATTTCTCTTCTTGTGTCTTTTCTTTTTCCTCCAAGAACTGCTGTAATTTCTCTTCTTGTTTCTTTTGCTGTTCTTGTATTGCTGCCATCAAATCTGCTAAGCTGTAGTTTGATTTGCCGCTTCTCGTTTCCATTTTTTTATCCCACTTCTGTCACCAATTTGTTGTGTCTCCATTCGTTTGTTAATTTTCCGTAAATTCGTTCCGACGAAACTTTAGCGACATAAGTCCTTTCTTAAATAAAACTGGTTTATTCTTTCCGAATACAACTTTACGATACACTTAATTTCAACAGTCGCTCTATAACAAACGCTATAACTCACGTCTCACATGGCCAACAATATTCTGTCCGCATACATTCAATTACTCATTACCTCCCGTCGCTTCGTGGTCGGTCTGGTATATACAAGACTACACTATATCTGGAAGGATCACGAGATTTAAGGAAAAAGACTTGAATGTTCGAGAATGACGTGGCGTGATACTAGTCACGTGCCCTCAATGTCGTAACAATTCTTTAAACTTCCTAATTTTTTCTTAACAAGCTCAGAATTAATGTGATCGTCTTTTTCAATTGTTGGATATACAAGACTGCTTAGCTTAATAGGTATTACTTAGTTTATTTAGTGATTGAATATTTAATGAAAACTTAGTTTTCATAACAAGAGTGTTAAAAGTTATTTATTTTAAAAGTAATAGTTATGACA